TGTTATTACCATACAACTTAGGCTGTTAAGCTTAACCTCACTATCTGTCTGCATATCAAACATCTTAGGCATAATATGGAATAGGTATTTTTCATCATTTTTTGGCTATTTTTAAAAAAATTTTATTCTCATTAGTTATGTTTGTGATACATAATCATTACATTCACTGTGGAGAGTTGGTACATGTACACACACATTTCTTTTTCCCAGCATTAGATTTTGTTTTTATCAAATTAATTATCATAAACAGATTAATAGACTAATGTACTAAAACACACAAAACAGCTATACTAAATCAAAGTCCACTTTTAGATATGTGGGCCATTCTGGGTTATAGTAACTTTCCTATTATCTGTCTTTTACTTTGCTCTTTGTTTATATTTTGGTAGGGAAACTGTGAGATATTTAAGCTGTGTGTCTCATATCCTTCTCTCAACGTTGTGGTGCACCATTTTCCTATAAATGACTCAAGTTTATCTGTACCACAGAGTAGGGCTGTATTATGGGTGAGCACAACATTCTCTTTATCCATTTACTTGTGGCTGCACAGAGGCTGCTTCCAAGATTTCACTAGTATGAATCTTGCTGCTATAGACATGGGTGTACATGGATCATGATGTAACTCTTTCAGGAAGACAAAAGGGAAACAGCTGGGTCAAATGGAATTTCTAGTTTTAGTTTTTGAGGAATCTCCACACTAATTTCCATAGTTGGTGTACCTTACTCTCCCAGCAACAGTGAAGAGGGTTCTTCCACCTTCCCCATTATTGCGGCTTCTTCAGAATTCATTAGTTGGTGATTACTTGATAATGGCCATTCTTTCTGGAGTAAGATGGAACATCAGTGTTTTATTTAAAAATTTTTGTTGTTGTTGCGACAAGATATTGCTATGTAGTGAAGGCTGTCCTTGAACTCACTATGTATGTAGCTCAGTTGGCCTCAAATTCCCAGTGATCCTCCTGCCTCAGCCTCCTGGATGTTGGGATTTTAAGCATGTGTCACTATGCCGGGCATTTCATAACTTGCATTTCTCTGGTGACCAGCAACACTGAACATTTTTTTATGTCTTTATTCGCCATTTGTATTTTTTTATCTGAGAAGTATCTATTCGTTTCATATACCCATTTTTTAACTAGGTCTTTAAATTTTGGCAGTATAATTTTTTTGAGCCTTTAGATAGTCTAGATATTAGTCCTTTGAAGAGTAGCTGGCAAAACTTTTTCCCATTCTGTAGGTTGTCTCTTCATGTTGTTTGTGGTTTCCTTTGCTGTGAAGAAATTTTCTAATTTGATGTGATCCCATTTGTTGATTCTTGGTATTATTTCTTCTGCAGCCAGGATTCTGTATAGGTCTTTGCTATACCTGTGTCTTCAGAGTTTTACCTATTTTGTTTTCCATCTGATTGTTTCTGTTTTAATACTTAGATCTTTACTCCATTGGACTTACATTCTAATGAGTGAAACAGACAAGAAATAGGATAAATAAATAAATAAATGGAGTACATGGCAGGTGGGGATAAAGACTAAAGAGAAACCAAGTAGGAAATAGGGAGAATGAAGTCTAGAAGGCACAACATTTCAGGCTGAAGGAACAGAAAGTGCAAGTCCTTAAGGCAGGGAGAGCGAGGAAAGCATTACAGTTGAGGCAGTAGACCAGGAGGAGATGAAGTCAGAGGTGACTTGGGGCTGATCTTGTAAAGCCTTCTGGAAAACTGCAAGGCTGTCTTGACTTCCCACAGTGAGGGAAGACTGTGAAGTGCCATTCAGCTTGTCTGGTTCTGTTGAGAATATCCTGCAGTGCTCAAGGAAGGCAACAGAAAACCACTTAGGAGGTGTCTTACTTTCATGTGGTTGATACAGAATACCTGATACCCAAAGTTAAAGGAGGAAGGGTTTATTTACCTCACAGTCTGCAGAGGTTTCAGTCCACAGTTGGCTGGCTCCATAGCAGGGTGGGATAGCAGAGGGGCATCACATAGGAGAAAGAGTTCATGGTGGGCAGAAGGCAGCAAGGCAGTAAAGTAGCCAAGCAGCAAGGACAACAGCAGCCCTCTTTCTGTCCTTTGTATCCTATCCAGGGTACCCACGCATAGGGCAGGTAGCACTCACACCCAGGATGGGCAGCCTTAATCCTAACATCACCTTATGAATCAGTCCCAGTATCACATCCTTAATCACTCAACCTAGATCCAGCCACCTTGAAAAAGCCCCACCTGAGGGGAACTACCCGCTCAGGCCCCCTTCCTGTCCCTCTCTTGGACAGGAGCTTTCTTTCTCTCAATAAATATATTCTGCTCATAACCTCCATTTGTTCCTAAAATTCATTAATGTCTTTGCCCATTGCTCCCACCTCCTGCCCGCCTAAGCGAGTTCCCATTCTCTCAACCTTAGCCCCACATGGTTTTACACTATAAAAGTCCCTGGAAGAGACAGCTTCCCGGGGAACTACCCGCTCGGGCCCCCCTCCTGTCCCTCTCTTGGACAGGAGCTTTCTTTCTCTCAATAACTATATTTTGCTCATAAAAAAAAAAAGCACCCCACCTGAGATTGTGTGAGGCTTTGAGGGGGGGCATCTAGACACGAGCCATGACAGACAGCTATTGTAGTAATGCAGAACAGACATGATGTAGCTTAGACCAGGGTGACTGCAGTGGGAATACTGAGAAGTAGACAGGTGATGGGTATGTTTTGAAGGCCAGCCAATGGGATTTTCTTGCAAATTAAATGTGGGGGACAAAAGTAAAAGATGACTCAAGATTATTGGTTGAAAAAAAGAGGATTGCTATTTCTATACTTGGGAAAGATGGCAAGAAAAGCTATTTAGAAGCCACAGTTAGACTGCTGGGGACATGTTCAATGTAAGAAAACTATTTTGACATCCAAGTAGAGGTACTGAGTAGTCAGTTGGATGTGAGAGTCTGGAGCTCCTATATATAAATACAATAAATGACAAATACATTGATTATAACAAAAGCCACAGGGCTTGAATTGCATACCATGTAACACACATTCACCATGGCACCCGTTTTTATCTCCACGTAGGTTGTGTATAACATGCAACACATTATATTTTGGCAGTGAAGACAATACACAACTGTCCTTGTGTATACAAAAAGCCATACATATGACTGTTTAAAGTACAATTCATAAAAACTCATCACAAACACCCTGTAGCTGTCACAGCTAGCACTAAAAGTCACTTCCAGATGCCCCTCTCACCCAGCTCCTGACTTTAGAGAGGTCAAGTGACATTGCTGTCATCTGGGGAGAGGAGAATCAGTTTGTTGGGATCAGAGATAGACCTGTAGCCCAGCTTTCCTCCTGGCCCTTTCTTGCCTTTTGAGCCCTGTTTTCTGTGCTCTGCACTTGTATCCCAGGCTTCCTCTCACTCCTGCCCCGGGATAGTCTCCATCACAATGCATGCCCAGCCCCCAGCCCTACCTGGCTCTGTGCTGGGCCAGCCATGCCCCCAGAACACACATTAGCCTGGCATAGATGTGCAGGCTGGGACCAGGTAGCCAGCAGAAATGAGCTATCACTTAGCTGGTATTGGTGCCTGAGAGTGGCCCGATGTATCTCTCTTTTTTTTTTTTTTTTTGATACATCTCAAAGAGCCTGGGGCAGCCACTGCTAAACCTTTGCTCATAGCCTATGGGATGGTGACCTTCCCATAACCTAGAATCACCAGGAATGTGTAGGTCACTAGAGATCTTCCTAAAAATCTAATAAGTCTACCAATGGATTTTGTGTATTCATGGGCAGTTGTGTTATGTCTGCTGCATGTGTATCACCTGTGTCGGATGTCACACATGTCCCACCTCTACCAATGGCTCAGGATAAAGAGCAGATTTGACCCAGCTCGTAGCTCTTCATTACCCAACCCTGCATTTCTGCTCCTTCAACTCTTGCCTTGTCTGTGGAAAGAGCCGCAGCAACCACCTTAGGATCTGCTGTCTGTTGCACATATTGAGCCATCTCTCTGAGGCACTTCCTTGCTCAGGTGGTTTCAGTTTGAACTAAGCCAGGGGGAAGGGAGCCCACCCAGGGAAGGGGTAGTTGCTGGGAAGAAATGCATCCTAGGTGGAGGGGAGGATGTGAACAAAGGCCTGAGGTGGTGCAGCACTGCCCTTCTTCACTGGGGCAACGATGGTGTGTGGTAGCCTTGGCAGAAGCAAGGTTAGGAGGCTGGGCAGGGCATGGGCTTGTCCTATTCAGGAGGCTTCAGTGTAGGCTTAAGGAGGAAATGGGGAGCCACAATGGATTTGGGAGAACTTGCAGTTAATCAAGAGAAGATAACTTTTATCTTGCATGGTGCTTTGCATCCCACTCTCTGGTGCTCCCTTCATCTGCTCCACTACCCAGTAGAAGAAAATGAGCTGTCACACAGCAGACTAGTAGCAGACTTTGGTCGCCACACTCCCTGCCTTTTGCAATGACCCTCTTGGAACCTTTCTCATTGGCAGCTGGCAGGAACCCATCCCTAATCTTTACCAACCGGCATGAGGTGCAGTGGATAGACCTGGTGAAGCGGAATTATTCACGCCTCATCCCCATGCTCAAGAACGTTGTGGCACTAGATGTGGAGGTCGCCACCAATCGCATCTACTGGTGCGACCTCTCCTACCGCAAGATCTATAGGTGAGTGGCGCATCCCCTGCAGCCAGGCCTGGGGTGGTGGGGTGAGGGCTGGGCAGCAGGTGGAGTGTAAGAGCGACCTCTGCCTCAGTGTCTCAGAGCTGGGCTTGCAAAGGGTGCAGTGTGATTGTGGCTGTGGCACACCAGCACCTCACCCCCTGGGCCAGCTGGGCTGACAGGTCTGGTGGGAGAGCAGTTTTGAACCCACATAGCTGGGCTGTGTCTGACCAGGAGAGGGGAAGTGCAAGATACAGGAATTGTTCAACCAAGGCCAAAAGGAAGAACTCCCTGGCTCTGGCCAAGACTTCCAATGCAGCTCACATATCTGTGTATCAGACTCTGAGGGCTCTAAGATGACTCAGACTGGTCCCTGACTGAAGAATCCCACTTCCATCAATATGCTGACTTCTGTTATGGTGTCAGGGGAAGTACAAAGGAGACCTCTGGCCCAGCCTGAGAGCTAAGAAATTATTCGGAAAGGCAGTATCCCTGTACCTGAGTGTGACCTGTCTGTGGCCACAGCAGTGGACATTAGCACTTGGTTTATTTTTTGTTTTTGGTGCCAAGGACCAAACCCAGGGCTTCCAGCTTGCTAGGCAAGCATTCTAACACTGAGCCAAATCCCCAGCCCCTACATTAGCACTTGGGAGGCTTCTCACACTCTGGGAAGTCTCCTGTCTGTTGCCACCAGCCTACTCCCTGTATGTCTGGGTCCCCTTGGGCAGTCCTGTCCTTTCTTAAGATCCATTTGGCAGGACTGCTGATACCAGACCCTGGGTAGATACCAAGTCACTGTGGGAAGTATGATAGAGTAGCTGGGCAGGTGAGTGGATGGAAGCAGATATGCCAGGTTCTGTTCTGTAATGGCTAGATTCCTACCTGCCCCAAAGCAGAGCTATACTGAGTTCACATCAATGCACACAGGAACGGCTGAAGCATCTGTGACTAGAAGAGGAGCTTTTGTTTTTTGTATTTTATTTTTTGACACTGGGGATTGAATCCAGGACCTATATCCCCAACCTGTTTGTTATTCTCAGAGATAGTTTTGCTAAGGTGCTGAATTGCTCAGGCTGGGCACAATTTGTAGTCCTCTTGCCTCAGCTTCCTAGAGTACTGGGATTATAGGTCTGTGCCACCATACTTGGCTGGAAGAGGACTTGATGAGAGATTGGATATAGAGCTGAGGGAGGGAGGGAGGGTCAAAATTAACTTTAAGGGTTATTTTGGGGAACCTTGGAGATCTCTAGCTGAGGAGTTTTGTGAATGCTGCTCACTGAGGTGGGAGAAAGCACTGGAAGAGAACTGGGGTGGAGGTTGGTGGTCTGTCTGATTGACTGAGGAATGGGAACGAGGACGAATGATTTGGATGTGTTTGAGCTCAAAGTGTCCATGGAACATCAAAGGGCAGCTGGCTCTAGGAGAGTTGGTGGATTTCAAGAGTCAGAATTAAGGACAGCAATGGACTCTGAAACCAGTCAGCAGAGAGAAGGGTGTGAGAGGGAAGAAAGCCTTGGGAATAGCAGTATTTGGGAAACAAAGCCTTTGTAGTGGGTGCCTTATGAGTATCTATGTATGCATCCTCAGCCACTGCGTTCACTCTCAGTGGACTTCCTACCCTTGGTCTCTTCATCTTGCACCATGACAGCATCCTCACCAATTTCCTTGTTCTCGCTCCCCCTTCCCCTGCAATCCATCCACTTGAGTTTGTCTCACACACCTATCCCATCACATCCTGCTTAGTTACCCACTCCTTCTCCATGACCTGAGATAAAATCCCAGCACTTTGGCAGGGTATCCAGAGCTGATCAGGATGTGGCCACTGCCTGCATTTGTCTTATATTCCACAAGCCTGCTCTACTCCACTGAACACCTCATGATTCCACAACATGCTCACTGTGCATACACTGCTTACTTTGCCTGAACAGCTTTCTGTCTTTATGCCCATGGAAAACTATTCCATCAGAAATCTACTTCAGAGTCTTTTCCCAGTTTCCATGATATTGTGGTCTCCATTTCCATACTGCCATGTGTGGTGAAATTATACTGCGTTATGCCTGCCTGTAAGCTTCTGAATACCACTAGACCAGAGACTGCTGATTCAAACCTGTATCTCTGACTTGGTGGCCCAGGGAATGTGTTGAACAGAAATTAGCCAAGTTCCTCTAAAAGCCACTTTCATGGCCCAGAAAGAAGTGAAAGGGAAGGGTACACAAGGAGGTCCAGATGGGACCATGGGTGAAACATGTACCAATGGCCACCTCTCATTTTTCCTAAGTGCCAACATGGACAAGGCCAGCAACCCAGCAGACCAGGAGGTCCTCATTGGTGAACAGCTGCACTCTCCAGAGGGTCTGGCGGTGGACTGGGTTCACAAGCATATCTACTGGACAGACTCGGGTAATAAGACCATCTCAGTGGCCACACTTGATGGTCACCGCCGATGCACTCTCTTCAGCCAAGACCTCAGTGAACCCCGGGCTATTGCTGTGGACCCTTTGCGAGGGTAAGTGTCCCTACCCAAACTTCTTACTCCCCCACTGTAGGGGCTCAGTGGCTATGTTTCTGTCACAAGAGCTATCTTAGGGCTATAGAAGGCTCTGGGCCTCTCAGACAATGGCTGTGAAGAAGAAAGTCCGCTTAGGTCCCTCACCCTGTCAACCTCCCCTCAAAACACGCTTGAGATTTGTTTTGGATATTGGTCTCTGGGTTCTCTCTGGATGCCCTGCTCATTCATTTTATCACATAATTGGACCAATTCAGAGCAGAGCAGGGCTCAGGAGGCTGCCTGCGAGAAGCTCCTGGGATAGAGGTCTTTCTTCAGGTCGCTGCAGATAGGCATCTGGCAGCTGTTCACACCTCAGGGGCAGGGAGCTATTTTCTTCCTATAGGACCTATTTCATTATAGGGAGCCTCTGCCTACTAGAAAGTCCCCTCCCCACCCCATCTGTTTCTATAGCTTCCTTCACTGGCCTTAAGTGTTACCTGAGTCATGCCTGCAAGATAGCCAGCAAGATTTGTGGTCAAGATCACTGGATCTGTTCTGCCCCAGCTACCTAGCTCTATCACACCCTCACCTCCTTACTGCCTTTTCTGGCCACAGCTCAGTTTCGGGGGTTAGGAATCCTGAACAGAGCAGGTCTCTCCTTTCCTTGGGGGAAGTATCTTGAGATGCATCAGTTTTTCAGCAGTTGTGCCATGTTACATTTACTAGCTTCACCAGTTTCTTCCTTCTACTGTTTGCTTAGCTGTTAAAAAGAAGAAACTTCTTCAGGTGAGCATAGCTGGCTGGGGCTAGCCACGTGCGAGGGTGTGAGAGGCCATGGGACATAACTCATCCTGCTCCCTTCACATTTGTGGCTGCTCTGAGAGACACTGAGCTTTCTCTTCAGCCCTTGCTTCAGCCCTGTTCACTGTTCTCATGCAGAACTGGTGAGCTAGCACCCGACATATCCTGTGCCCTCAGCCATGTGATTATGTTCACCTTGATCCACTGTGTGTCTGTCAGCATCCCAGCAGGAAACCTACTGCATACTAACTGAAGATAGGTGGGAGAGGATTCAGTAAGGGACTGTTTACAAAGGCGTGTGTAAGGTCTGATGAACTCTTGGATGAGTGGGCCTCGGGTCAATAGTAGGGAGCCTTACTTGAGTTGGGAATGTCATCCATTCTGGAAAGAGTTCGTATGGACTCCTCCAACCACAGTGGGAGAGATGGGCCCACAGGCCATATAGCCAAAGCTTGGTGCACTTGTGGGAATCTAACTTTCCTCAGGTTCTTAAATGAGCTGAAGACAGGACCTGCAAATTCTGAGAGTTGATACTTCCAAGGGATTTCTGAGGGCTTTCTAGTGTTCATTATGCATAATCCTCAACTATTCTGTGGGTATTTGGGCCTTTGTGACTCAGACCACCCCAATTGATGTCCCTACCAAGAAGCCAAATTGGGTTCTTCTTTCAGGTTCATGTATTGGTCTGACTGGGGGTACCAGGCCAAGATTGAGAAGTCGGGGCTCAACGGTGTGGAACGGCAGACTCTGGTGTCAGACGATATTGAATGGCCCAATGGAATCGCCCTGGGTGAGCCCTGCCTCCCTGGGTCGGGAGCCTACTCTCGCACCTGATCTTGGAGCCTCAAGGGTCTTTTTCTGGGTCCACTCTTAGAGCTAGTACCTTTGTTCTTTGATGGTTGTTGTCATAGGCTGGGTTCATTCAGTATGAGGCCTGGGAATGTGGGAATAGACAAGCAGATATCCAGGCTGGGGTCCCAGGTTAATGACCTGATCCCTCCTTGCCTTCCTCCTCCCCAAGATTTGCTGAACCAGCGTTTGTACTGGGTGGACTCCAAGCTGCACAAACTGTCCAGCATTGACTTCAGTGGAGGCAACAGAAAGATGCTGATTTCTTCTTCTGATTTCCTGGGCCACCCCTTTGGGATAGCTGTGTTTGAGGTGAGCCCTGTGAGGGGAAGCGTGGTCCTGCTAGGAAGCCGAACCCTAGAGACTTGTCCAGATGGAAACGAACAGGGAAGCCAGCTGAAATAGACACAAACTGAAGGCTGCCTCCATACAAAGGCCTTGCTGTCCATTGTCTGCTTGGCAGTTTTCCTGTGCTCACTTCCCAAGAGCACTTTCTCATAGTCCTTCTCATAGGTGAGTTGCTAGACACAGATCTTCCTGTCTGCACCCAGAGCACCCAGTACTATACCACATACACAGAAGACGCCCAAGACAGAGAGGAAGGGAAGAAGCAGTGCACACTGCCATAGAATTTTTACTGTAGCAAATGGCCTAAGAGATGCTCTGAAGTTCAGCATATTTCCGCTGACCTTTGCTGGGCCCTGGGATCAGAAAAGTGAGTCAGACATTATTTCAGGCTTCACGAAGCTCCAGGAAGGTGAGGAGTCAAGACCCTCTGGTGTCCTGACCCTAACAATCTTTCTTCTTGGGGAATGAGGAAAGCAGAAATTACCAAGTTTGCACACACCCACCTCTTCAGTAAAACTAATTGCCACCAAGGGGAGGGAAAGCAAAAGGACAGTGCTTTCTGGTAGAAACTGGCAGGATTTTCTTGGAGTAGCTTCACTCAGCACTGCTCTAAAATTGTGAGCAGATCTCCACCTCTAAGTCTAGCTCCTGCTTCAAAAGAGAGACAGGTATGTTTGGACACGTGTATACATGCTTGAGTGTAGCTTTGGAAGGTGGCAAGTAATTGTATGTGCATGCGTAAGTATAAATGCATCAGTGAAAATGTGCATTCCTCTGTGTGCTGAGTTTGTGAGTTTAAATGTGTATCCCAATATTTAATATATTAGGCAAGCTTATTTAGGTACAAATATGACTTTATGTGTGTAGATTAACTCTTGACTATATATATTCTGGATTTGTCTGTAGGGATACATGGATTTACCTTCAGATGTTTGTCTAGGCTTGTACTGATTCAACCATGTGGACTCCAGTGTGTGTCTACCCAGGGGCTATGAAGGTCCAGCACCCTTCGGTAGCTCACACATCCCATCCCCTCCTGTCTTGGTCCTAGGTGTCTGTAATAGCTAAAGAGACCCAACCTTGGGCTTCTGCTGGCTCCAGGAAGCAGGCATAACTTAACATTAGTAGTTTAGTGGCCTTCTGGTCAGAGCATAGAATTACCAGCTGGTCCTCTCAGATAGAAACCAGAGTTTACTTCATAGATCAGAGACTGAGAGTCCCATTGAGAATCTGGACAGAATAGCTCAGGTGAAAGGTCAGGACAATTCTTGTCACTATGGTTTGGGGCCAAGTTTTCAGACTGACATCATAAGTTGAAACTCATTTCCTGTCCTCTGCATCTGTTCCTCACAGGACAAGGTGTTCTGGACAGACCTGGAGAATGAGGCCATTTTCAGTGCAAATCGGCTTAATGGCCTAGAAATCTCCACCCTAGCTGAGAACCTCAATAACCCACATGACATTGTCATCTTCCATGAGCTGAAGCAGCCAAGAGGTGAGCTCTCTATCTTCCCTGGTCACTTGCCTCCCTCCTCCCCCTGCACTAGGTGAGCTGTGTTTATCTTCATGTCATATTCCAGGAATAACAACAATCTCCTGTAGAATGCATTATCATCACTTATTTGTCTCCTTGTCTCAGACCTTTGTGAAATAAGGCTGGGTATAAGTAAACAAATACATTTCCTTTTCTCAGCAATTCGAAGTATGCACGTTACCCTTACTAACAGTTGAGGAAACTGAAGTTGAGAGAGGTAAAATAATGTTAGCAGGTAGCAGAACTGATACCTAAGCACAGGCCCATTAAGTTCCAAAGTGCTTTTTAACCACGACACATTGCTTTTCATTTGCTATTTGTACCCATTTTATAGCAGTATAAACTAATGTGTCCTAAGGGCACACAGTAAGTCAGCTTGTGGGCTGGGAATAGAATCCAGGAATCTTGCTATTAGGTTTCTCCTTATCATTAGGCAATAGTAATTCTGACGGTAGCTGAGGTGTTGGCTGCCAGTGTGAAGGTGGGAAAGCAAAAGAAGGTAAAGTCAGGTTAGTGCCTATTTCTACATCTAGAAATTTAAGAGAAATGGTGATATGGGGGAGAAAGCCCACATAGGATTTATAGTCCGTACTTCAATTTAAATTCTGCCTATAAAATTCCTAGAGGTGTATGTTGGACAAGTTTGTTCTCTTTGAGGCTACATGGCTTTAATCTGTCAATATGGCCCATAACACCCAGCTCTAGAAGTGGTGTAAGAGTCAAATGAGAGTAGGAACAAACATTAGGTACAGCGCTAGAAGGCATCCAGTTGATGTGCTGGAGAAAACTTATGAGAAACAGAATGGATGGGCATTATCCTTGGAAGGTGGGAAGACCTGCCTTGCTCCATCTGTGCCTTAACTTCCTGTCTCTGCCCTTAGCTGAAGATGCTTGCCAGCTGAATGCCCAGCCCAATGGAGGCTGTGAGTACCTGTGCCTTCCTGCTCCTCAGATAACCAGCTACTCTCCCAAGTACACGTGTGCCTGTCCTGACTTGATGTGGCTGGGCCCAGACATGAAGAGGTGCTACCGAAGTAAGCAGGGGTCCCAGGAGAGGTGCCCCTGGCAGTGCCAGAGCCCACCGTGTGATACAGTGTGCTCTGGGGGTTTCTCTGTTCTCTGGGTACTCCTTGCCTTTCCACGCTCCCCTTTCTTTTCACCTTCTTTGAATGCTCATGTCCCCTGAGGCCTTCCAAGGCTTTTTCTTTTCCCAAGAAAAAATGCACATATAGATAAAAAACATTTTAATTCAACTTCAGGTGATTTCTGGAACCCATTCAAAACTTCAGGTTCAAAACCCTTCATCTCTACAACTTCACTTACTATTTATACATGATAACTATGGACTGGCCTGTTTTTTTTTTTTTTTTACCTAGGACTGAGACACCACATAAAGCCTTTTTGCTACATGATTTGTGCTAATTGCCAGAAATACTTCAACCTAGAAATTAGATTTACTTCTCACTTGTGATACAGAGCCAAAGCCTTTTGTTTAAGCACAAGTTGGCTGCATTGCTTATGATTTCCTGGTTCAGTTGTTTAAAGTGGAACAAAAATTTATACCAGTGATGTTACAAAATGCTTCTAAAATGACTCATCTTTATCCAAAGGGAAGTACTTAGGACTCGTCTGAAAAAGAACTTAGGACTCATCCTTCAAGGAATAAGGGAAGGCTTCACAGAAGTGGCCTCTGAGCTAAGCCCTGAGGTTAAGTTCCTGTATATAATTCATAGAGGCAGTATCTTTTACCATACCAGAGCAACAAAATGCACTGTCCAAGTGACCTCCATGGTCTTTCCTTCTAGCACCTCAATCTACCTCAACTACGACGTTGGCTTCTACTACAAGGACAGTAGATGCCACTACAAGAGCCCCTGGAACCACCATCCACAGCTCCACCTACCAGAACCACACTACAGGGACAGCAGGCCTGACAGCTGCAGTCTCAAGCTCAGCCAGTGTCCCTGGGGCTCCCAGCCTCAGCCCATCTACCCTGAGCCCTGCAACCAGCAACCACTCCCAACACTGTAAGGAAATGAGCTCTGCATTCTTCTATGACAGGGGAAGGTCCTCGGGAAGCCAGGTTGGGGTGTGAGGAAGAGAGATCACACCAAAGCTGAAAATGTGTGTTTCTAAAAGGAAGCAGAGGAAATGAGAGCAGAGGAATGCCAGCTTGAGGTTTAAGAGTCTTGAGCGGCCTTAGCTTACAGGGAGTCTGCAGGAAATCTACGTCATATCTCTAAGCCTGTTTTTTCTCCAATAAAAGAGAAAGAAGAACCAAACCCCAGCCTGTTTGTCAAGGTTGGCCATAGAAGCTGAGGAGGAAGTATTCACTCGGCCTCTGCTGCAGGGTGTGTGTGTTTCCTATGGCACTGATGGGTGTACGGGGGGTTGGGGTAGCGGGTCCCTCAGGGTTCAGAAGCTCTGCTCTCAGCTCTCGTCAGCCTCAGCGAGCTGCTCTCATTGCAGGACCTATAACCACAGCCTACTTGTAGTGTTTCTAAACCCTGCTATGAACATAATTAAGTTTACTACTTAAAAGTTGTAATTGTCACTGCTCAACTGTTCTATTTCACTAACCACAAAATACCTTTTTAACTGAGTTAACCTGACAGGGGAGTTCATTTGAAAGGATGTTAACTTTTACATTTTTTCTATACATAAGTGGCCTAGACACCAAGCAACCTGGTGACATCTTTCTGATTGGGCCTGTTCTGTGGTGGGAATCCAGATTTACAGAGTTGAGTACTCACCCTTAAGTTTGGAGAGGCAGGAGGAAAACTCATGAATTTCACTCCCGCTCACCTGGGAGCAGCATCTCTGCTAGCCTCCCCCACAGACTTTCTCAAAGTGGAGGTTTAATAAGAGGACAGCAGCACATCCACTGTTAGCTTTGTAAGCAGTACAAGTCTTTTTTTGATTTGCTTGAGGTGAGTTGGAGAACTGGACACACTAAAAGGATAGAATCTAGACCATTGCTAAAGAGCAGTCACCTCACTCAGAGCAAATGTGGGTGGTAGCCCCTCTGCATGCCTTAGGCAGCTTGTTTGACTAAAGTACTGTAGAGATGTTATAATGAAGATGATTGTAAGAGTAAGAAAGATGGCACAGCATATTTTAAAAAAATACAGGTCATTTTCCAAACATTTTTCAGTTTAGAATATACTTTAATTTAGGCCTTACCACAACCCCCACTCACCATACTCTTTGAAATATGCAGAGCTGTACTAGGCACAATGCTAAGTATATTACTTACCATATTTAGTCTTTACCTATCCCTAAGAGATAGATAATAACATTGTCCCTGCTTTCAAGATGAGTAAGTATAGCGTCATATACAAAGTCTGCCAAAAATGTATATACACTTCAGCAGTTGGCCATATCACTAAATGTCTGGGAGCTAATGGCCTCCACTTTGAGCCCCTCTTATAATTATGGAAGCCAGAGGTAACTTGTATTAATCTCATGTCTCAGTAAGTCTAGCATTAAAATATTTATACAATTTTTTTTTTGGTACATACATTTTTGGGAAGACTTTGTATATAAATTTGCCAAAGTCATATAGAGACTGAGTAGTAGAAATGGGATTTGAACCCAAGAAATCTGCCCCAGGAGCTCAAGTCTACTACACTATTATGACCTAATTTAATCACTTAGAGAAACTAAGCTAATAATGCTAATGGACAGACCACCAAAAAATAAGAGACCACGCAATGAATACTGGGTGAAAAGCACAGTGGCCCAGTGCTCACTCTATCAAGCACAACCCCAGCTTTCTGCCACTGTGATGCTGCAGGGATTGGGTCATATGTCCTATGTTTAAGTCTCAGCTGGACTGCTTACTTGGAAAATTCAGTTTTCCCACCCCTCTGCCGCTTGCCTCACAGGAGTCTCAGGATCTGGAAAGCCTGAGTTATTAAGCATTAGCCAGACTCATCCTTTTAGAGTTAGAAAGAGAAGCAGTTGGTAGCTTTTACTGTTTAAGGCCAGTCAGGACTTGGATTCACAGTTACAGAGTAAATGTTTTTGTTTTGCAGATGGCAATGAAGGTGGCAAGATGGGCTCAACTGTCACTGCTGCTGTCATTGGGATCATTGTACCCATAGGTAAGTGTGAAAAGAGTCTGCCCAGGGCCTAAAGAAAGATGCTAAAAGGAAGAGAATTTAGCACACTGACCTGCCTCACTGACTGGTTCTGCCCTGGCAGATTTTCTGCTCCCTCCCAGGCATGATTTAATTTGGTTTCTAAGCATGGCATACAAGGTTTTTCAAGATCCTGGTCCCAGGGAACCACCCATCTGCATCTGTCCCCAGTCCTTATTCACACCCGGCACACCCACCACATGAAGACCCGAGTGGACGCTCCCTGGGGACAGGACTCACAGCTTGCTTACAACTTGCCTACTCTTCATTCCTAGCAGTGTCTGGTGCATAGCAGGAAATTAAGTATTTGCTGTACTGTCAGTAGAGCTGCTTGGCATCTCTTGAACAGGTTATACTATCCTGTTTTCTGTTTAATTTTCAACATTTATCAAGCAGTTACTATATGTTACCCTGTGATAAGGGCAGAGGAAGTGGCTAAAGATGAATAAGACTTGGTCTTGTCTTATTACAAAAGTTAAATTTTTGGTGAAGAGACACATAAAATTGATGTTTGGTATGACATGGTAAATCCTAAGATGAAGCTATGTGTACTGAAGGATGTGTAGATGAAGTACTTTGCTTAGACTGGAAGAGAAGGGAAGAGGCCCAGGAAGGTTTTTTCTAGTGGCCATGGTCTTTGAGCTGAGTGAGCCCAGTGAAGAAGGATCAAGAGCAAGCAAAACAGTACAGACAGTATCTGCCAAGCCAGGAGAGGGAAATGGCAGGGACCAGAACAAAACATCTGTTAGGATGGCAAACAGAAGGATAGGGCTGATTCATTCTCCCACCCTGATGTTCACAGAGTCTCAATACATCCTCTCCTACCAGCCTCATCTCTTCGCAGGATGTCTGAATTGATGGGCTTGCCTCCTTTACTTGCTCATCAATTATTTTAAGGCCAGGGACTTGGTATCCTCAGAATCCTCAGTGTAGTGGTGAGTTAGTAAATGTGTTAAAAAACTTCTCCCCTGTTCAAGACACTGTACAAATGCTAAGAATTCAGGGAGTACAAAGACTTTAAGGTTTTAACATCAGGGTTAACTCAGTCATACAAAGTAGACATTAACGCATTCTATAATATTTATAAGAGAGGCGTGGCATGACAATCCTGTGGAGGTGAGTCCACAGTGAAAGAGTGCTTCTGGAGAGGATGGCATTTGAAAGAATCCAAAAGAAAATACAAGGTAATACACTATTATTCCAGGCTTATTCTGAGTGGAATGAGTGAAAGACAACCCCATTCCTACTATACTGTGCTCTGAAAGAGCCATACAGGCTGTTCCACAAATACAACCCAGCCTGACAAAATCTGATAATCTAAGGGGTGAACATGCCTTATTTCCCTGGGAGGTAGAGTAACTTTTCATAACCTTATTGGCCATTTTTTAAAAATTACAATCGAATTTTATTAAGGTTATTTTTTCTGTATTTAAGAGGATCTTACAGGGTCAGGGTCTACAGGGTCTCACTACATAGATCAGACTTATGAGTCTCCTGTTTTCAGCATTCCAAGTGGTGGGATTACAGGTACAGCCACCATGCCCAGTCTAAATCTCCATCTCAGCTCCCCCCATGGGTGAGGCTAGTATGGCACGCTGGGGATAAAACACCAGCTGCTGTGCTCTGCCTAAGCAGGTGCTCTAGTCCGCTGAGCTGTCAGGCTGCTTATTGGCCATTTGTTTAGACGTCATCCTTTTTTTAAATTTACTTTTTTATTGGTGCTTGGTATCAAACCCAGGGCCTCATACATACTAGGCAAGTGCACGCTTTATTCCATTTTACCCTTTGTGAATTGCTTATTTATACTCTTAGTTTTTGTTGGCTATCTTATTTGTAGAAATATTTATACATAACAAATATTAAAACTTTTATAATGTATATAGTAAATATTTTCTCCCAGTCTGACAATAGGTTTTTAGATTTCTTTATGGTATCTTGCTATGCATAAATTTAAAACTATATATATTAGATCTGTTAAGTCTTCATTTTATTTTATTTTTATTTTTTTGTTTTTATATTTTAGGGAAGGGTCTACAGGGTGTTCAGGGTCTCACTACTAGATCGGACTATAGTGATTCACCTGTTTACAGCCTCCCAAGAGCTGGGATTACAGGCGAGTGCCACCACACCCAGTCTCAGTTGTGGTCTCAGCATGCCCCAGGGGCGGGGCTGGCACAGCAGGCCCTGGGGATTGAACCCCCAGCCCCTGCACCTGCTTGCAGGAGCTTTAATCTGCTGAGCTATTTGGCCAGCCCTATATCTTTTCTTTCTGATTTAACTTGTCACCTTTATTATAAACTACATACCTATACATACTAGACTACATTCCACAAGTTACGTACTTTTATGTACAAGTAATAGTATCTACCATGTTACACTCACAAGTTTCTCATATTTTTATTTGGTTTCTCCTTGAGATGAACTTTAATCAATTTTGTAAAAACAATGATGGAATTTTTATTGAGACTGCCTTGGATATATAGATTTTTGTGGGGAGAATTTACAGTTTTTAGAATATTGATATCTCCCATCCAGAAACATGACATCTCTTTATTTCCATCTTCTTTTATGTCTTTTCGTAGAATTTTATAGATCAGATAAGACTTAGTGTATTTCTTATTAGGCTGTCCCAAGTATTTTATAGGTTTTGTTGGGGTGCTATGAAAGTGTTCTTATTCCATTACATTTCCTATTGGTTAGTGTTGACAGAAACAAAAGCTATTTTTCATGTTCATTTAGGTTGACTCTTGGTGAACTATTTCCAATAGTTATTTAAGTGCTTCACACGAACATCTATTTGTAATATGTATTCTGTATATACAAGCCTCTGTTAATAGTCTGAACTTTTTCCTTTTCCTGTATTTATGTTTCAATCAAATTTTTTATGTTAATATTACATGATTAGATTGCTAGGAAGATTTTTTTTGTGTGTGTGGTACTGGGGATTGAACTCAAGACCTTGTGCTTGACAGGTAGGCACTTATTCTACTGAGCTATCTCCCCTGCTAGGAAGATAAATAGGAGCTATACTGAGAGCATTCTTCTCTGATTCTTGTCTTTAATGGGTATCAATTATTGAAGTCTTACTCAAGTAGTGACTCTCTGGAACATCCTAGATGGTTAATCGTCCAGCCTTCACTGAAAGGCTCCAAGTGATTGCTTACTACCTGCAAGGCTGCCTGTTCCATTTTTGCCCAGGTCTGTTATGGAGCACTTTCCTTTTCTCACTATTGTATTCCTTTATTCTGTCTGTGTTACCCTTTGGTGTCCCTTTTTAGAAATGCTCTTCTGGTGGAGCCCCAGCTTGGGAAAGAATTACTCCAGCACCACCCTTCACCCTCCCATTTGGTGAGGGAATGGTTTTCTTAGCAATCCAGGGAAGCAGCAGCACTGGGGCAAAGGATATAGGGAATTCTCACTCATTCAGAGAGAGAAATTGGCTGGGGGGCATCTTGGGTAGGGACCAGCTGAGCTGAGAACTCAGCAGCTGCCAGATCCATTTAGAGGTGCCTAGCGAGGCTCAGACCTCAGGAAGGTGTGCTGATGGCTGTAGGCTGAATGAGTCTGGTCCTGACCAGAAGTTGCAGGCTCGCTGAGATTTCCACTACCCTGCTACTGTGGCTTGCTGGGATAAGTCACCATAGATCTGGATTCTGTCTGCACACATTCTGTACCAGTGACAGCAGAGACATACCTGGAAGTTTGCTTTTTTTCTTCGTCTTGGTTGTTTTCTTTTGTTGTGCTCGTGGTGGTGGTGGTGATTGGAGTTTTTTTAGGTGTTTTGTTTTGTTTTTCCCTTCATTGTTTGATCTTATTTTTATGAGTGTGAACATGGTTTCTGGCCTCTTTGTGGTTGTGATTCTGTTTTGTTATTCCTTTTATCTTTTCTCTCTTTTCCTCTAGTCTTCTGCACCAGTTTCCAAAAGTTAGCATCATCTCCCTTTGTGCTCCAGCCTTATTCCTAATCACTTCCTCTTGCACTTCTCTATTTTCTCCCTAACCCAATTTAAATTTTTAAGCTCTGAGGGCAAGTTGACATACAAGGACTTGATATACCGCATCTAATTTTATGGTTTGTTTTAGATTTCATTGTATAACCACAGTCTGGTTCATACAGTTAAGGTGGCAAATTAATGGTTAGCTCAGTTTGTTATTTTCTAGGCTGTGTTTGACGCTGTTGTTATTGCTAATGGTATCACTGTAGCCAAAAGTGACATTTGTTCTAAACAGCTGTTCTTCCTCGTATTCTAAGACTTGAGATTGACTAAGGGTCACAGAAAACACTATGGCACAGTGCCAAAGAACCAGGGTCTGGGCCAAACAGGCAGCAACTTCCCATCTGAAATAAATTGAAGAGGTAGGATAGTGCTATAGACAAAAAACCAGCTCTACCTTGAGAAATAGTCATTTCCTAAGGGTTGTAAACACCAGCAATAAAGTAACCCATCATAGGCAGTTTACAAGCATTACCCCAGGAATTAAACTAAAAAAGAAAATTAGGAGGCACTTAAGCAAGATGCAACCTGAGGTGTCTAGTTCACCAAAGGCAAATCCAGGAGGCAATCAGGTGGGATAGTATGAAAGCCATACACCTGACTTCTCTGAAGTGGTAAGAACAAAGCAATTGAATGAGGTTTAGAAAAAAAATCATAGCAGAAATGATTTCTTAGGGCTGGCCAGATAGCTCAGCAGATTAAAGTGCCTGCTTAGGAGATGCAGGGGTTGGAGGTTCGATCCCTGGCCTGCTGTGCCAGCCCCGCCCCCGGAGTGTGCTGAGATGGTGATTAAGACTGGGTGTGGTGGTGCACACCAGTAATCCCAGCACTTGGGAGGCTGAAAACAGAATCACTATGAATCTGATCTACATAGTGAGACCCTGTAGACCTGCACTAAAATACCAAAAAAAAAAAAAAAGATTTCTTAGATAACTGCAGAGATGCTGTCCATAATGAACACCATGCCTA